GACAAGTTACTTAATATGTTTTTGCTTTTTGTTTTCTGCTTTGTTAAATGGGAGGTAATACTATTATCTACCTCATAAATCTGATAGTAAAATGATATAACATAGTCACATAGCACGTATCAAACATTAGCTGTTTGTATTTTTGTGAAATGGCAGTGACTATATTGGACTTTTATAGGATATGCTTCAATAATTTGACATAATTTTGAGTGTATTTGTATTACCTTAAGGGAGCTCTATAACTCTTGATTCCAGGATATAACCCTCTTTTATTTAAACATTAGCAGTGAGTCTCTGAGCTATTAAGATAAAATAGTAAGTTCTAAATGAGGATGAGGGTGACTGTAGCATAGACAAAAAAATCAATTTGGTCTTTTTCTTACCTTATTTGTGACACCACATGTATTTTTCTGTTCTGTTTTTATGTGTAGAGCAATACTGTTCTATAGCATTGTAACGCAAGCCACATAATTAAAAAATTTAATAGTCCTATTAAAAAATAAAAAGAAATGAGTTTAATTAACCTTTCTAATATATTTTATTTAACGTAGCATTTCTAAATTATTTCAACATGCAATCAATATAAAATTGAGATATTTTACATTCTTTATTTTTTGTATTGTCTTTGAAACTCATTGTGTATTTTGTAGCTTAATGGTACCTCTTAATTCAGAGTAGTCACATTTCAAGTGCTCAGTAGGCACAACTGGCTAATAGTATTGTTATAACAGAGTTATAGAATCTGAGCTAGTTTTAAAATTGCTTTTTAAGTTAGGGAGGGTTTTATGATACTTTACAACAGTTAGTAAAGCTAGATGTATCAAATAGGTAGGTAGAAATAGTAAATTTGTAGTTTTTAAAGGGAGCTGGGGAGAGGTTTGAATTTTGGAGTGATCAATGAATGTATAGGAATTGAAGTCTTCAAGTTAAGAGCAGAATTAAATCATAATATCCCTATGAGTAAATCCCTAGCGAATTGCTAGAAAAGGACCCAGTTGTAAAACAGAAAACCCATCAGGTAGAGGAGAGCTGCAATGGATTGGTGCCCTAGAAACCAGTAAAAGGAAGTTTCAAAGAGGCATGGTGAGTAGAAGTACCAAATCCTAGAAGAGTGAGAAATAAAAATAAACAAGTGATTGTTTTCTTGCCAACTTAGCAGTAACTATTTCAGTCAAGTGGTAGCTAATGAAATTGGGTTGTGTTAATTTGAGCATTTAATTGAAGTTGAAGTGAAGACAATGAAGCTTGTTAGGATAAGTTGGTAGGGTTGAAAGAAGTGTGTTATTGATGAAGGAGAAGGACCAGCAGAGAGTAAAAGATTGAAGATTGAGGAAAAGGAGAGAACTGATGGATATCCTGTAAATGGCATGAATGAATAGAAGTCAGTGTACAGGAAGAGGGACTAGTACTGGAAAAGAGTCAACCCTGAGACAGGAATGTAGGTATTGTAGAATTTGTGTATGATAGAGTGGGTTCTTAGTTGCAAAGTACTTAGTTGTAGGCAACAATTTGAGTTATAGACAGCTAGCTAGTTTTAAGCATACAGGGATATGTTACATACTACTTAATTTCCAGAACTGCCAAGGAACCACACATGACTATTAATAGCTGGGAATAGCACTAGCCAAGAGAAACACCTCATGATACTATTGTAGTAGAAATTCCACTGCTACTTGCTACTTAGAACCTATAATACTAGAGATCATTTTGTAGAATAGCAACATGGTTGTGTCACATAGTTGGCTACCACCTTGATTTGCTCACTTCTACTTTCTAATTCTTGCATGAATTTGGTTCAACCTGGATTGCCTTTGGAAGTCATGATGCGAGAGAATCTCTGAAATGTACTTTTTAGCTTTCTAGGCCCTAGAAAACAGGTTAGAGTGCATGCTGGAAAGGGGTTGGAGTACAGGCTGGGTGGTTCTGGCTCTTGGTATCTTATGAACTGTAGTTAAGATGTTATCCAGACAGATTGTTATCTAAGGCTTGACTAGCCTGGAGGATCTGCTTAGATGATGGCTCATTCATGTGGATGTTAAGTTTATTTTGGTTGTTTGGCAAGAGGCCACGTGGACCTTACCATAGAGCTGCTTGAGTGTCCTCATAATATAGCAGCTGACTTCTCCACAAATGAATGATTCAAACAGAGTGAGTAAGAAGCCATGTTATCTTTTATGACAGATACCGTAACTTCTAGTAATCATTTTGATGTCAGGGAGGGCACTGCACAAAGGGATGTGTTTCCTGAGGTGAGGATTATTTGGGTTCTCTTGAGGGTAGGCTACCATGCCCCTTCTTTCTTTGATAGCAAGAATTGGTCAGATTTGTCTGTAAGAGCAGAAGACAAATTTCTTTTTAAGTGAATGGAACGTGACAAGAATTTGGATAGAATTTGGTTCTTTCTTTTAAGGATACAAAAGTGTACCACATATAACCAGTTTTTTAAAGGATATAGAACTGTTCAGTCACTTGATCTCAGATGTATCTTCTAAAGATAGAGTGTGTATCATGAACTCATAACTCATCATACGTGTGCATGTTGAAATGTGCAGACAATGAGGTTATGATACGTTGTCTTCCAGAATATTTATCCTGTTTTCATTTCTGAAATACAGATGTTTGACTAGCTATCCCTACAGTCCTTTCTTGGTCTCACCTATCTGAGACCATGACTGATTGAGAAGTGGAGTGAAGATCTCTGTGATGTACTAGGTAGTTTGTATAGGTCATTCTTTCATGTCTTGATCATATCATCTTTTTTATTTTTTTTCTATCAGCTGTCACAAATTGAAATTATTTTGCTTATATACTTATTTGTCTCCCTGAAACCTTACCCGGCTCCCAAAAATTAGGCTTCAGCAGGATAGAGCTGTTTTTGACTTGCCTACTGCTGAATTCTCAGCACCATGTTCAGTGCCAAGTAGATGCTTAGTAGGGGAATATCTAAATAGATTATTATTTGGGAGATGTACTACGTGTTCATTATTTGAAAGAGTCCATTTCAAAAGGTAATTTTTCCCTTCTTCTATTTGATTTCTGCCTTTTCAGTCTCCCCACCTGTTTCCCACCCTTCCTCTCTTCCTTCCTTCTTTTCTTCCCTCCCTCCCTCCTTTTCCTTTCCTTACATTTTTATTTGGACATAATAGTTTTATAGGGGGTTTTGATGTGACATTTCTATATGTGCATACAGTGTATCCTGGTTTGGTTCATCACCTCCATTATTCTTCCTTTTTCCCCTCCCCCTTCTTAAAATGACTTTGACAGGTTTCAGTGTTCCATATTCATATATATGTGTAGAATATACATCAACGATACTGACCCTCTTTTACCCTCTATTTATTCTCTCCCTCCTGCAAGCACCCTCCTCTTGATATGACCTATTTTACATTCATGTCCTTCATTGCTTAAGTGTTCAGAGAGGCTTTGCTTTGGTATTTTGCCTGTAAATATGTTGTGCTTTAATGAGTTTAATCCCCTCTGTTACTCTTCCTTACTATTTTCCCCCTACCCTGTATTGTTGAATAGTTTTCAGTGTGTTTCATTGTGTCTTATTCCTACACAGATGTGATGTATTTCAGTATTATTCACTCTTTATCATTCTCTTCTTTTTTTCCTCATATTATGTGAAATAAGCCAGATTCAGAAAGAGAAAAGTTACATGTTTTCTCTCAAATTTTGAAGATAAATCTAAATACAAATATAAGCATTTTTCATATACACATACATATACAGAGTTCCTTTCTCTCCCTCTCTCTTTTCCTTACTTTTTTCCTTCCCTTCCTCCCCTCTCTTCTTCTGTTCCTACCTTTCCTTTTATTATTATTATTGTTACTAAATTATTATTTTTGTGATGTGCCCCTGCTCAGGAAATTCTCTGTGTCTGCGAATACTTTCCCGTATTGTTCAAAGGTGGTATCTGGCTTCTCCAGCTTGGTTTCTTTTTTGATACAGATTATACTGATTCCATGATTACTGTTTTAAATTATTCTTTTAAGAGATGTGTTTGGCTAATCTTGTAATTTTGTGCCATGTAAACTGGGAGCTACATTTCCTATTGCTTTGCTTGCTTCTCCTTTTTTCTTAGCATGTTCTTTTTGAATGAGTTTACTATGCTAGTTTTGACCCTGCTAGAATTGATATACCTAAGGATCCTGATATGCAGAACAGGAAAGTCATGATAGCCACCATACAAGACTGTGTAGAGCTTGCAAGGAGCATAGGGTTACATGAGTTTAGTAATAGTACATCTGATATATTGCTCTCCCAGAAAGTTGTGTTCTTATGATATTTAACCCAGATCAGCAAGTGTCTGTGGATTTCCACCTGTTTCACAGGTTTGGTGGAAACTCCAAACCTGGATTGATTATCCATATGCATTCCAATTTGCCTCTGAGCTTTTAGGCAGGCCTCAGCAGAGGCTCCTGACAGTTTTTTGAGTTATGGACCTTCTTGCAACTCTGATGAACTGTTGACCTTCTTGTCAGAGAGATAATCATTTGCATAAACTCACAAATTTTTACATGTATCATTTAGGAGTGTATAGACTTCTGAAACACATCAATTGACCTAGGTTAAAGACTTCTGATCTGGAGTCTTTTTCTCCTATTTCCTGTGTGGAGAACAGGAGATGTTTTTCTCTCTTTTCCTACTCCCCACCCCCTGAACCTGGTCTATACTTTATCCTGTTACACTGAAATAAATCCTTGCACAAAAATTTCAAAAAAGACCTCTAAGCTGATTTATTATTACTACTTTTTTATTAAAAATTGATTTGGGAAGCTGTTAGAAAGATGAAAACGCTCTTAATAATTGAAAGTAACTGTAGAATCTACTGGGAAAGTTGTATTTTGGATATTCTTTTCCTGATTTGGCATACCCAAGAACCAGACTAGATGATCTATGTTAGTTCTTGTCCACATCAGAATTCAGAATTCAGACAGTATTTTGGAAATAAAAATGGACCTCTACCTCTACTTACCTTGTTCTTTGTGATTTCACAGGTGCGTTTGCATCAGACATATGCAAAAAGACCATCAGTCTGTGGGGGTCATCAGGTAAGCAAATGGGACTTCATTTTTTTTATTGTCATCAATTTAGTCCTTGGGCAACATGGCATTTACTGTCCTGTACTGTTTACCACATTGTGGATCAGTAAGATGATGAATATGCTAAGAAGGAAGCAGCCTTTCTTAAATTTTACCAGACTATTTCCCTGCTGCTTAAAGTCAGATTTCTTTATTTTTATTTTATCTCACTATTAGTTCATATATTCACACTTTTATAGTTGATGAAAATTTCCCACTCTTCTTTTTATGTATATACTTTGGAGAGTTGTGGACAGTTCTCATATTGTTTCTTGGTTGTCAGCCAAGTTGTACACATTTAACTTCTTTAATCTTTCTTTGTAATTGAGTTAGCTTGGCTGCTTTTTCCAGATCCCTCTCCCCCTCCTCATTTCATCTGCACCATTAATGAACAGAAAAAAAACAGCCTATTGCCTGGCTTCTTCTACACCTTTCATTCTCTGTTGCTTTCTGGTTTTGCTTCATATTCCTTACTGAACTGAAGCCAGCCAGACATCATTCTTTTGACCACTTTGGCAATACATGAATGCCTTGCTTACAACTATCAATGTGCCACATAGTAAAAGCATCAGCAGAATATACTAGATGTAAGAAAGGAAAATGTAAAAGGAAAACAGGGGCAAAACAATGCATTCTTTAAGTACATGGCAGACTTATCCATGCTACCTAAAGTAAATCTTTGTACCTGAACCTTTTCACACAACTTTTGTCATCCTAAAGTGTTGTAGAAGGACACTAATTTGAATCATAAGAGAAGCATAGATATCATTTGAAGTTTGGCCACTGTTCTCATTCAGTCTCTTCCCCACATTTACTCCCCCACTGCCTTTCCCAACACTGATCGTGACTTGCTGTCAGATTGTGTGGCTGTGAACAAAACTGGGCAGGGGATCATTTTGTTGGAAATTAGATAGGCTCAGGTGGTAAATACTCTATGCCTCCATGTGTGACATTTGAGGCAAGTGCTTTAGTTCTTGCTATTTCTGTAACAGCTATTGGTCTTCTTTTAACAGCTGATCCAATGGAGATGTGCAGGAGGAAGGAACTAACAGACCTTTGATGCCATTTATCAACACTATTAGTTGTACAACTTCTCTCCCTTGATTGGCAGGGAGAAGCCTACTGCTTGTAGATGGTACTGAGCTTAGTGTAAAATATGCCAGCATGGAATCTGGGCTTGTCACGGTTCATTCTTTCTTTTCATTTGGTGTGTAGAAAATGGACCTCCACCTCTGTACTTACGTTATACATTAGAGAGAAAAAGGTCATACTCTAGGAGTTACTCTTGGAGCTAATGGCTTATTGGTGTTTTTAGTCACCAAATTCAGATAGTATATTTAGTTGAAGGTTAAAAACAGCATACACTTGGCTTTCTCATTTCTTTTAGCTTTGCTTCTAGTACAGAATTGAATAGGATAGTAGAGACGGTTTTCCTGTTTGTGTCTGTGGCAACTTTCTAGATGATTTGTGGTTTAATCCTTCAAGCATTTTTTATAATCGTTTTTTACCTCTTTGTTTGTGGAGGCATAAAATGCTCAGATTCTAATGTTATAATCTTTTTCACAGTTTATTTAATTCTGTAGAAATCAAGGTCAGAATAGCAGCTGATACAATTATCTCTGTGTAGTGACTTAAAAATTATAATACTTAGGTTAATTCTTTTTTTTTTTTTTGCCAGATTTTATAACCGACCTTCATACTATCAGACTATAAAAAAGATTACATGATTGTGAATGATGTATTTCTTGGTCTCTGGCCTCTTCAAACAGATAGCTGTATGACTTGGACTCCTTGTGAAATCTGTTTTTTTAGAAATGTTAATCTCTCACATGGCTCTTAAACTGCCAACAATATTGTACTCCACATTAATTTTGTTAGGCAGTTGATACATTCTTCAGCATAAATCTTGTTTCTTGGATCTTTTCAAGACCTGTCAAAGAAAACAAAATGCTAACCTGAATTTAAAGGGGGTGGGGGAAATCCCCCCTTCCCTGCCTCATACTATATTATTCTTTGTTCTCTATGTGCATCAAAGTGACAATCCCACACTGTCTCAATTGAGGGAGTCTAGCACAAAAATAACAAACAGCCTGGCACTGTTATAGGCTTGCAGCCAAAATGTTTTGTATTGCGTGGTTCTGGCAGTGGTTTTCCTGAGGCAGAGGGTCTACACTCATAGGGATCACTGAAGGAAGGCAAGCAGTCTTAGTCCTTCCTATGTAACAGCATTTCTTTTCCCTCCTGTCTTACTCTTCTACAGATCACTATTGTGGAAACAAAAATTTTTTTTGTTTAAATAAAAAAAATCATTCTTTTACAACTTCCACATTTAGTAAATGGCATTGTTTCTCACAGAAATTTGTGCTAATTTTGCCTTTTCCAGTTTTCACAGAGATTTCCTTTATAGTCACATTTTTGCCACACTTTGCAAAAAGCCCCTATAATAATGCTAACTTTGGTTATTTGATACAATATTTTTGATTGGTTGGAATCTTGTATGTTTCCCAGCTTATTATTTGAATGGAAACTTTTCAGTAGTATTTATTTGCAATATATTGATTTTTATGCCAACATATTTATTACTGAGACCAGAAAGGTCTGCCATTGTTTTCTATTTTTGCCTAAAACTCAGATTGGTTTTATAAATCGAATATTTTTTTTAGAATGTCTGCTAAGTGTTGCTGAATAAACAAGTAAGTTTCCCTGAAAATAAAGGATGCACACTTAAATGTTTTCATTTGAAATAAAAATGCAGGATAAGACACAGAAATGCTTTTAAAATTTCCCAATTCTCACTGAATTGCAGTTAGTGACTTACAAGTGTGAAAATGTGGTATCTTGAGTTTTAAATGGAGGTGATTTGAGCAGGAGACTAGATTCTCACTATGAGCAAGCATTCTGTGAAATTTCATAGAATGTTCCTCAAATGTAAATTTAATTTTTGTTCTTTTAACCATAAACAAATGATTTATTTTTAGGCAATCTATTTCAAAAATTAGTGTTTTATAATCAAGATAAGATTAAACAGGCAGATATGTTTTTTTAGTAGGAGATACATGTTTTTTGACTGATTTTTATTCTAAAAATTGTCAGTGACTTTTGGCAATAAGAAAATTATTTTGGAGGAAGAACTCATGTATTTTTGTAACAGCATAACAAATATGACTGAAAAGAAAGTAAACAGTGGTTCATGTTAGAATTATTAATGTGAAACACTTTTTATGTGCCATATATACTGGAAAAGATATTATGGGTACATTAAGATAAAATTGTGCAATCTGTTTTTCCAGAGATTTATTTTTAATTTATAAAATGCCTGAAAATCATTAAAAGGGTTTGTAAAAGAGAGGTATATTAGAAATGTGCATTAAATAAACTCACCTGTTATTTTCTCTCAGTCAAGACAGGTTCAGCAACATATTGGTTCATTACTTTAGCAAAACAAACAAATACTCCAGTTGCTTTTTATGAATAATGCACATGTAATAAATGCTACAATTCCCTATTACCCCCCAGTATTGTCCTTAACTTGCAATTTTGTGCCTGTTTTTCTGCAGAGGTATTGAAAAGAATCCATTACATTGACTGAATCTTTAGATTAACATTTTAACCACCTGAATTATACAGTATTGAGAAGGAGGGCCAGTGAAACTTTTTGCTTTTGGTATAGTTAGGTTCATGACTGTCTTGTCTTGACTTCTAGTTCCAAGATCTGATAACATTAAAATTGGTGATTAAAGATAACACAAAAAACTCTTTCATTCTGCATGTTCACATATATCAAGTAATGCTTACTGCAATAAATATTTACTACTTTGAAACATATTTTCTGCTGTGGTGTAATTTTCATTTGCAGTTAAGTCCTATATTTTTTTCTGTAGGAGGAATGTATATTTCAGGTACTTAAGAAATGTAACAAGAATTGTCCTATTTATTTGCTTATTCTAACTACTGTAGAAGCATAGAAGAAATATATATAAAAATTAAAATGTTTAAGCAGTTTTTTGGGTAAGTGCTATTGAGTGTTTCATGTTTGTATGCACTACATTCTATACTTTTTTAAATTCGGAAAATGCAGTAAAAGTTTTTTATCTTTATAGTTTGATATTGTGTGATTTTTTTTTCAAGAATTATGATACAGTAGCTATTATATTTATGGAATTCTGGAAAAATCAGCTTATTGGATAACAGCAAAATTGGATAAATACTATTTATTACTTTATAATTTTATTATACTAAATATAAAGGTTATACTTAAAACTAGTGTTTTATTTTACTTAAATGTCAGTATAGTTGTTAGACATAACTTCTTGGAGTGATGATTTTATTATTTTGTTTGATATCAAATAAATAACAAATATGAGTAATCTCATATTTGGTCACAAATATGAGTAATCTTTCCATAGTCATAGTGGTCCATAGTTCAGTGTCAAAGTTCAATAGAGATTAGAGAATTAAAAAGGATAGTTTTAAATTTCCTTTTTAATTTTTGATACATTCTAATTTGTTCCACTCCTAATATCTTGTTATCATTCTGTAAAATACTTTCATAAGTATTTCATGTTTTCTGTGGCATCTCACACTGCTCACTTTTTATCTCTGGAACCATATGAGTTTCCCCTTTTCAGGTTTACGCTGCATATTTTAAGCTGCTGATAGTGTATGCAAGGTAAAGTGACATTTAACTTTTTGAGCTAGTCTCACTTTTAGTATGAGAACGACCTCCCCCCCAACCAGTCTTCTCACTTTTCCTATTAAAACAATCTTACTAACAGTGAACAAAGAAATTCAGGAATCTGGCTACAGCAGCATATAAAGTGCATCAAAAGTGGTGACTACAATACAATTTTATTAATGAATGATCTACATTGGTTCCAGCTGTGTCCATGTGATTAGGCCTTCACCAGGCAACAATGGATATTTCCTTATTGCTTTTATTTGATTTCCAAGAATGTGTCATCTGTTACCTC